TAAGCTATCTGTGTGCAAACATTCATGCAAATCAGTTCAGTCATTTCCACGTATTAATTTAATTACACTTTCCTAATACGTGATAACTCTTAAAATAGTAGCCTGTTTTCCAACATAGGTCATAAGCTATCTCTGTGCGAAATGTCAGGCAAATCTGGCAGGCCTATTTTCCAGTCTAGGTCATAAGCTATCTGTGTGCAAACATTCATGCAAATCAGTTCACTCATTTCAGCGTATTAATTAAATTAAACATTTTTAACAGGTGGCAACTCTTAAAAAAAAGTAGCCTACTTTCTAACCTAGGTCATAAGCTATCTGTGTGCAAAATTTAATGCAAATCCGTTCAGTCGTTTCCGCGTATTATTTTAATTTAACTTTTTTAACAGGTGGCAACTCTTCCAAAAAATTAGCCTATTTTCCACTGCAGGTCATAAGCTATCTGCTTGCAAAATTTCATGCAAATCCATTCAGTCGTTTCCGCGTATTAATTTAGTGAAACTTTTTTAACAGGTGGCAACTCTTAAGAAAAGTAGCCTATTTTCCAATCTAGGTCATAAGCTATCCGTGTGCAAATTTTCATGCAAATCTATTCAGTCGTTCCCGCATATTAAATAAATGAAGCTTTTTTAACAGGTGGCAACTCTAAAAAAAAATAGCCTATTAACCAATCTGGCCCATAAGCTATCTGCGTAAAAAATTTCATGCAAATCCGTGCAGTCGTTTCCGCGTGATGCTTTCCCAAACATCCAAACATACAAACTTTCACATCTATAATATTATATTATAAGATACACATAAGTGCTAAATGCCCATTAAATTTCAAGTCAGAATATGGTCTGCTTCAAAAGTTATGACATAATTAATTTTGCCCCTCTTAAAAATTACATAAAAAATTCACTTGTTTTCATTATTTTTTTTAGTTTAAACACCTATAATTCAAAAGTTATGCAGCAAATTGATCCACATTTTTTTTTAGGCTTCAAGTATATGTCAATGAATTATATCCATATGATATAGTTTCCAACAGTGAAAATAAAGCTAAATAACACCAAGGTTAGCTGTTTTTTAGATTTGCCCATATACGTATCTATGCACATATGTATCTATGCACATATGTATCTATGCACATATGTACATACATATGTACTTAGGTATGTATATCAGCATTTTAGTTGAAAGCAAGGCATAACAAGGTAGAAGTGATTTCGACATTTCTCTCTTTTGAACTGCGACTGAAATGTCAACTCTTAACCCTATAGCATTCAAATTTTTTTTTATATAAATTTTCAATTGTGAGCTGTGCGACTGATTTATATACATAATAAAATGAAAAGGAATTGCGAGCGGTGCGTTGTGTTAGTCAATAGCCTGGACAACAAACTTGTGCGTTATTTTAAACATTCGAATTGTCAAGTGAAGCGGCAACTGTGGGCAATGTGTGCTGCGATGTTTCATTAGGACACTATTCTCGTGTGGTCGTGACTTTATTTGTTGTCCATCGCAGCCGAGTATTTCTAAGTGTACGCGTTTGGTCCCAGGTGCAGGATTTATCGTACCGAATATGAAAAGAAAATCTCCCTTTCATATATATACATGGATAGGCCAAATTTCAAATGGTGGTCTGATAAAAAATTATAAATTTAATGGAAAGGAAATTTCGAATAGCAAAAATTTAATAGCTAAATTATTGAAGTTAAGTTCTGATGTAAATTAGAAGAATTAAACTTTTTTAATGACTAATATACTTTAAAATTAAGTATTTCAATAAAAAAAATAAATGCTCAAAAACACTGGGATAGTAAAAGCAAGAAAATTGTCAAAACGGGTTTATAAATGAGTGTGTTTCATTTAGTGTGTAATTTTGTGTAAGTATGCATTCCCATATTTACATTAAACCGAAAATTCAATAAATAAAATGAAGCTGGTTCTAATGAGATTTTAAATATTTTCATATTTACAAAAACTTTCATTTCAAAGATGTTGAGTTCTATCAAATATGGTAAATGCATAACAAAGGGTTAATTTCTTTGTTTACATTTTTTGACATTACAGTCAGGTATGAGAGAGCTCGACTGAATTGTCACTTCTACCTTGTTGAATATGCCTTGGTTGAAAGTACGTTTTGCTCGTAGCTCTCTTCACCGCTCCACTAAATTCCTGTCCTTAATTTTATTCAGATACCACAAATGTATGTTTTCTTCGAAAATACTCAAGTACTATCAGTAGAGTACTCTACTGTCAAATATCTTTTACTCGCAGTAGTTGCGGAAGGCAAAGTAAATACTCGACGCGTCTTGCTATTGATCGGTAGTTTACGTACGCTTGCAGAAACTGGTTTATGCTTACTCACACTTGACCCGAACGATGAGAGTAAAGGAGGGAAAGTATTTGCGCGGCGATCGGATGTCTTGTTAGGCCGTTTAAATAGAATTGCGCAGGAGTTTAATACCCATATTGTAATATCTAATTCATTTAATTTATTAAATAGTTTTAATAAAATTTGTAACAGGTGGCAACCCTTTTCAAAAAAAAAAAAAACTTTATTGCACATCTACAGGCCAAGCCCTGTCATTTCACACCGCACTTTTTAAAATAGAACGAACTAAATGTACATACCTATGTAAAAGCCACAAGAACCCAAATTTTCAACTTCAAACTACATTTACAGTGAAAGTATGAAAGTTATCCAAAAACCAATTGCATTTTTGAATTTAGCGTCCTCAATTTTACTAAGAAGCGAATTTTCATTTAAATCCGTCCATAATTCTATTTTTGCCCACATTTCATATGGAAGGGAAGCACTGTGCGTAGGCCTCGTTGAAGAATCGCAACTAGTTCAGTCTCAGAAATGGAGTTATTTAAGTTTTCAGAAATCTTAACCACTGCGTTTCGGTATTCATCGAAACTTTCATTAGCACCTTGTTTTTGGATTCGCATCGACTCTTTAATATCGGTATCAGTGCGGTGCTCGGCATAGTGTGTCCGTAGGGCTTGGCATAAACTTGGCCAAGTAATGCGGTCAACTGAGCGTCGATAGCGCCAGTACCAATCTTTTGCATCACTAATAAATACGCTCTGAGCATGTTCAAAAAAGAGATTAAAATTTCTCCCAAGGGTCTCAATAACTTGGGACTCAATCCTATAGATAAAAATTTCCACTGATAATCGCATAGAACCATCAAATTTTATTTCCCAGTTTGAGATAAGACTTGCAATTTTTCCTGAGTTTGTTATTACCGAAATATTACTAAGGCAAGGATTTGCAGCACTATTAAATGGTTCAGGTTGAGCATTAACGTTGGAGCGATTGAGGATGTGATTGTGATTGCGGGATGAGTAAAAGTCTGGTGAGTCTTGTGGCCATTCAACGCGTGGTTGATTCGCCAAATTGGGTAGACCATTTGCGATTTCGCTCTGCGCTACATTGACTTGTTGCATACGTTCAACTATATTATTGACTGTCTGATCTAACCTGTTCTCGATTTGAGTCATACGCGATTCAATATTCTCAAATAAGGAGACGTGTCGTGCTGAAATAACTGCGTTAACTAAACTACGAGTACGACATTCTTCCGTCTCATTCGAGGGACTTCCACTATTTGTATTACCCGGAGGAGCTACTGTCTGTGACAGCTGCTGAGGTAGTTGGGACTGTAGTTCTTGTGAGGGTGATTGTTGAGTTTGACTCTGTGTGTGGGGTGGCATACGAGATCCCTGCGAAGAAGAGGCTTGCCCTTGATCGTCAGAGAGATTGTGGGGAGGGTTAGCACGTGAACGCGTGTCTGGTGAGTCTTGTGGCCATTCAACGCGTGGTTGATTCGCCAAATTGGGTAGACCATTTGCGATTTCGCTCTGCGCTACATTGACTTGTTGCATACGTTCAACTATATTATTGACTGTCTGATCTAACCTGTTCTCGATTTGAGTCATACGCGATTCAATATTCTCAAATAAGGAGACGTGTCGTGCTGAAATAACTGCGTTAACTAAACTACGAGTACGACATTCTTCCGTCTCATTCGAGGGACTTCCACTATTTGTATTACCCGGAGGAGCTACTGTCTGTGACAGCTGCTGAGGTAGTTGGGACTGTAGTTCTTGTGAGGGTGATTGTTGAGTTTGACTCTGTGTGTGGGGTGGCATACGAGATCCCTGCGAAGAAGAGGCTTGCCCTTGATCGTCAGAGAGATTGTGGGGAAGGTTAGCACGTGAACGCGTGGTAACCGTACTCTGTGGTGGCCTGAAATCTTTACTAGAACAATTAGCTCTGCACTGTGGGCAGGCGGAGTTTCTTTTCAGCCACGTTAGCAAACACGTACAGTGAAACCTATGATTGCAGGCTGTGCGCAGAACGTTAGAACCGGAACCTAAGTTCTCGCGGCAAATTGTGCAATTTGTGCTGATTGCTGGAGTGGGTGGTGGTATGTTTTCGTTACTATGTCGGAGCGACATGGTGTATAATAAACTCTTTTTGCAGATTTAAAAAAACACAACACTTAAGCCTGAATACTATATATGAGGTTACTTTTCGGTTGTTGAACATTTGTTTTACCAAACTTAGGATTTACATATGCTCTACTTGCGGTTTATGTTTGTAAGTCTGTACGAGGAGGACGCAATGAAACATCTACGTATTCCATACTCATACATAATTACTTTGTGTTACAAGGCCAATTGATCACCCTAACAGCCGCACTCAGAAACGTTCATTAAATTAGCTCTAACGGGCACTTAACTAATGATCGTTAAATCAGTTAATTCATGTTTCCTCTCAGAGTCAAAAATTATGAAATGAAAAATTTAAGTATGGCCCCAGTTTCGGCCCTTTTTTTTGTGGCATCACTCACTTTGTTCGTTCAGTTTGAGGTCAAATATAACAACTAAGAAAGTCTAAGTTCGGCCGGAGCCGAACATTAAATACCCGGCGCATGTACTAAGTATATGATTTTCACCTTTCTGAAATATACCGCTACATGGTAAGCCGGTGTGTATCAATTTTGAGTAAATTAGCGTCCTTGAATTTCGAAATATTGAAGTTTCAAGCATTTCTGAAATTTGCCTTTATATGAAAAGTGGTCGTAATTTTAATCTGATTCAAATAATTTTCAACGTTTTGCTTCTATGTGGCAAGCACAATAATCATACCGAGTTTGGTACAAATTGGTAGAACGGTTACCGAGATACATATATGTGATCATAAGTGGGGGTTGCCACGCCCATTTTTAAAAATTTTATCATAAACGTACTTCTTGGTAAAGAATTGTTGCAAGCGTCAATTTTGAATAAATTAGCTTTAATATTCATTGATTTATCGAAGATTTCGTATTTCTCCAAATTACCGTCATATGGTAGGTAGGCGTGGTTATTGTCCGATTTGAAAAATTTTCGGCCATTTGGTATGCTGTAGCAAGGCTAACAACTGTGCCAAGTTTGGAAGAAATTGGTGCAGCGGTTACCAAGATAAACACATGTATCCATAAGTGGGCGTGGCTTCGCCCATTTTCCAAAAATTTATAATATTCTTATTTGTCGTCTAAAAATTTTTGTAAATGAGTGAATAATCTTCAGTAGTTACTAAAATATCGCAGTTTTCGTATTTCTGAAAATTACCGTTATATGGGAGGTAGGCGTGGTTATTGTCCAATTTGGCCTGTGTCAATACCATCATCCGTCCTACGCCCGAAAGAAGTGCACATACCAAGTTTCGTTAAGATATCTCAATTTTTACTCGAGCTATCGTGTGCACAGACGGACGGACAGACGGACGGACGGACGGACAGACAGTCACCGCTTAATCGATTTCTCTTTTCATTCTGATCATTTATGTATACATTTGTCTATATCTATCTCGATTCGTATTGCCTGTTACAAACAACCGCTATGTGAACAAAGTTATAATACCCTTGTGCACAAGTGCGCTCGGGTATAAAAATAAGTACTTATATCATTTTGCGCACACTGCCTCAACAATCGCAATGGCTGAGCGAGTAGAGCACTGCCGTGCCATTCGAGAGATGCGAGTTCCAGTCCTAGGGAGGGAAAACTTTCCTTTTCCTTTTTTTATTTATTTTATTTTCTTGTTAAATTTTTAAAAATCAATTTTATTTAGTTTTTTTCTTTTTTAATCTAATTTTCTCTTGATTTGTAGAATTTATTGTTTTAAAACGGAAACTATTTTTTTATTTCATATAAAAAAAAATACTAACAGGCCAATTCTGGCATCTGTCTTTCAACTCATCTCAGTCCTTCGAAAGACAAAAGTCTTTATATTCCGGCAACTATCTTGAAAGTTCTTTTCGGTATTTCGGATGACTAAATAATTGAAAGATCTGCTAACGAGGAGGGTGGCGTTATTCTATTTATCGTTAACAATACGTTTTCTAAAAACTAAACAAAATCAACAAAAAAAAATTTAAACAAGAAAAACTAAAAAATTGTGAAAATGAAAGTAAAAAATGAAAAAAGCTTAATTGCAAAAATTTTTAAACACTGAATAAATTAAAAAATATTTATATAAAACTTAAAATGTTTAAAAATATTTATTAAAAAAAAAAATCCGTTGTCGAGTATTGAACTGGGATCTCTCGAATGGCTACGGTTGACAGACGTACTGATTTTATCAGTACAGTACTGATTTTTCAACTCTTGTACTGATTTTATTCATTTCTTCAATCAGTACGCTAGTGTCCTGATTATTCTAAATTTGTACTGATTTGTACTGAATTTTCTATTCAAACAAAATACTTTAGTATTTTCTTAAGGTTTTTACATAACGTTGGATTTTCCGTAAACTGTACTGTAAAAAATAAGAAGAAAATAATTTAATTATAGTTGACATGTTTTAGAGAATGTTTGATATGCCCAAGAAATTAATACAACAAAAAAATCAATCGTTTTATGGGCATATCGCCGGGTCGTTACGTACCAGTTGCGATAATATGATGGAGCTTATTTTTTAAAAATAAGGCTTAAATTTTTGTCGAGTGTTGTTGGTCTCGAAAATAACTTTCAGTTTAATAACAATAAATTTTAATATTCGAATGGCTTTTACCTATAACTTACAACCTTTTTCTCAATTTACTCGCTTTATAAAAAAGTTTTGCATACAAGACATAGAGTTAGGCACTCTTTTTAGCGAATTCTTAGTCTTTCCTAGCTTTTGCGTAGTTGAAAAATTATTTAGGCCATGAGGAAATATAGGTGAACTCCTTAAAAAGTGGTACTTTTTCACAGTACGAGAGGATCTTAAGATTAAGGTTTGTTTCCTGGCGCAAAGAGAGGGACCGGCTTCTAATTAAAATTTTTGAAAGTGAACTTCAAATTAAAAGTAAATTTAAAATGAAATGTATAGAATTTTTTGACTATTTAAACACTGAAAATGGGAATGATCCAGAATGTGGTCAATTGTGAATTTTAACTATATTAACTTATATAAGAGCGAAAGATATTTTTTAACATAGAACGCCAACTAATATATAAAATTGCTTTAACAAAAATACCAAACGATTTCTTAGTTTTATGTTATTATCATTTGAATGAATGTGACTGGTGGGACACTGAAAAGAACTCTACTTTACCCTTGATCACTCAAAGATGAATTTTAGCTAAACCCCTTAATATTCACGAACAATGTTTTCGTGTTGTAAAATATGAATTATACGCTTTCGTTTTCAATAAAAATGAGGTTTATATAATCTTCATAGAAATATTAAAAAATATTTAAAGTTGTGACTGGTGGGACAACTCCTTGTGACTGGTGTGAAGTAATTATGCATGAAATAAAAGTTTCCATAGACAAAAATTACAACTTTTATTGATTTTTTTAATATTTCCCAAAAGAGTAATGACGTTTCGCTAAAATCCTTAGCATCTTCAGGGGTGTTTTATTCTCATATGAACACGAGTTTCAAAATTCACGTACATAACGTACGGGTAAAAACGTGAAGAACAGTGTTTTCTTGCACATAAAAAGGATCAATAAGCCTATGAAATACCTAAAAGAATATACCAAAAATTTATCATCAACTAATAATTAAATTTATGTCGTTCTCCTCTTTTCAATGGAATGACCCAAATATAAAATACTTTATTGGCTCCTGTGCATAATGATGTGTACACTCATGTTAAAAGGAACAACACTTTTTTTATGAACTATATTTTATTTATATACGAAAATATTGTTAAAAACAAGAACTCAGGCGTTTTAAATTATTTTCTGTTACTTACAATCATAATTTTGCTTTGAATAAAAATGTACTGAAAAGTACTGATTCTTTTAGCATGAAAAAGTCTAATGTACTGATTTCGCGCATAAAAAATCTGGCAACCCTACGAATGGCGCGAAAGTGCTCTGCTCACTGGGCCATTGCCACTGTTACAGTAACGTTATCGAAATTGAAATTTATTGAAAACAAACAAAAAATTTCGAAATCATTCGTTAAAAAGTTAAGTAAATGTTTTTCTTTACTTAAGTTTAATCTTCATTAAATTCCGTTAACGAATCATAAACTGACTATGAGAGGGAATTTTTTCAAATCGGAACACCTTAAGTAATCATTAAACGACTCTGAGTGCGGCTGTAAGTATTGAAAATAACCTATGTCGTATTTAAAACTGTCAGACTATTTTAGACATTTCCACAATGTTAATCGGAAAGCAAAATATGTTTTGGGGCTGTTTTTTACTTGCAGAAGAAATTAACTTCTCGACGTGGTTAGTACGACGAGCAATTAGCTTATCGGCAAACTAAGTTCCTACGCTCGATTAGAAAACTATTTTAGCGAGATACAAAAACAAGCGAATCTTTTGCCAGGGCAGAGTTGGGAACTCCTACAAGAAATTTGTTTCTGTAATGACCTTCGGGGCCCCATGTTGGGCGCCAATTTCTATGTTATGAAACTTGCCGACTGGATAGTTATGTATGAAACTTTGTGCCGTGTTTCGTGACGAAGTGAAGACACACTTCACAACTGCCCGTGTGCATCTGGCTTGTCCCGGAGCTTCAGTGTGATATATGTAGGTTAATGAAGCAGCTATGATAACATCGTCACGGCCTAAATCCATTGTCTGTCATAAGTTAAAAAAGAAATATTTACATGCACACTAGGGTTCAAGGGAATCGCCGTATATTTACATGACCTCAGATTAAGCAAAAAAAAAGTTCTAAATGCAAAGTAGGGGGAACAGGAAACCCTGAAGTTTTGCGGCGGAATTTTAATTTTTAGCCGCTCTTCACCCTCCCTCCATGACTTTATGGTTGTTACTAAAGTCCCATCACAAATAACAACAACCGATTTTCAGACCAAAGGAAAAATTTAGCAATTCATTTTATTGAGTATTAATACTAAAGACCAAAATTCATAATAATATTCCTCATCTTAAACATAGGTACGTTAAAAAGAGATAAAAAAAACCTAGTGATAGAAATATATAGTATGCACCTGGGTTAACAT